ATTGAACTATGGTCAATTACTTCAATGGAATTTAATGGTAAGACTCTACATTAGTTCAGCAAATTGGGGTTGTAAAGAATTAAAGGGCCAATTATTATTGATAGTCGACCTATTCCGTGTTATTTAACTCATGAATAAATATAATAACTATAATCCTACCCCGCAACTGTGGCACTCATTGGTTGATTTCAAAAGGGCGTTCTGTTGTGGTTCAGTTCCAGTTTCAATTTAGTTAACGTTACAGTCTGGTTTTTCGTTCTAGAATAGTCGAAATGTGCCGTTTGAATCCAAGTCAGACCGCAGCTGCGAGAGTCTGTGTTGACTCCCCGTCCATCCAGAGTCATACTCTGGTCAGACTGAAGTCTGACCAGAGTATGACTATGGTTCCAACCAATTAGTATGTCTGAAACATGTCTGAAACCTCTCTTCTGTTACGGCCCCTTGAGAACTCGAATCAGACACACCCTGAGGCAACTGTTTCGAGAAGAAAGGTAAGCTAATAAGTATATTGGTTGAGGTGGGGGCCAAGGTAACAATGGGGTAATTGTAACAATGCTCTGTCATCAAGTACTTTAGATAAAATTTCCTAATTTTGTGTCCATAACATGCCACTTTTCACCCTTCATATCACATATTTTGAGCTTCGCTATGATTGGCTAAGAACGTGTTTACTTCAATTTTTTGCATCCTGGTGAAACAATTATGAAGCCAAATTTTTTTCTCTTCTGTTGCAATTTCATTTTTCATCCCAACTAATGATGTTAAAAATGTTTCATTTGCTCCTTGATCTTAATATCAACCTCATGATCTCGAAATTTGAACTGAGGCCTTATCACATCATTTGTTGAGTCAAATATTTCTTTTGCCCCATGGAAATTTGGGCCGTGGAGCAATTGTAGCAACCTAGCGTGGTGTAAAAGTTACAAAGCACATACAACATTTTAAATGCTGCTAACTTTGGTACTTGAGTCTTATTTGTGGAAAAAATGTATGCATGACTGAGTATTGTGTATGGGGCTTCTTATAGGCTTCATAATGGTTCGCACGTACAAAAGGAAAACTGAGAGGGATGCGGAGAAACGCTACTCCCATAGAAATCTTGCAAGTGCTGTGAATGCCATTAAGAATAATGTAATGAACAGGAAAATGACGTAAAATTATTATGGTGTTCTGAGAGCACCATCCAGATGCTCCTATCAAAGCATCGTTTAGAAGTCCAATAAAAATTTCTAGGTTTTGATCTGCGAGATTAACCCTTTCAAACCCTGCGTCCACTCCAATAGACAGAATTTTCATTGTTTCAATGATAATTTCTTTGGATTCCTGTGACTTTGCTCCCCATATTGGGTGGATGCAATTATGCAAGGCACAATTCCGTCAGAGGCCTTCTCTCACCCATCAGTTTAGCAATCTTCAGTTATGTAATTACCTGTATAAAATATAATATAATGGTATGGTACGGTAATTTCATAAAAAATATAACAACTATATATAGAACAAAACTTTTTAGTAGAATAGGAAAAGAGCTCAAAAATGCAAAAAGGTATCTTATTTCGATTGTGGCCTTAAATTCAGTTTTGAAAGGGTTAAGGTTTCTCTTCGTTGATAGGTGTGAAAGGCATAACTTTTATTGGTGTTCATCATCAGCTTACAGGATTGTAGATTTCTTTCCTTGTTTTGAGGAAAGAAATTGAGGAGAAAGAAAATAGGAAAAGTAAAGAGATTAGTGCAAGCAGGGTGGGTGAGTGGAATTTTGTTTCCTCTTTTTATTCCCAATGAAAGAGAATTCCTGCAGGCTTAAAATTCGGAAAAGAAGGGCTACAGTTGCATCAGAATTAGACGATCCTAGTGCTTCATTTTCAGACTATATCAGCTGAAATTTTCCACGATTCATGCACCAAATGCGGAGTGCATTTACAGCCATTCATTTTGTTCCTCAGTGTTTGTTCCTCAATGAAATGACACTTGTGCAGCAATGTTACTTTTGTCCCATGGTATGTTACTTTTACCCCATCCCATGGGGCAAAAGTAATATGAAAATAGGCTTTTAGAAAGGATGTTTCCTGAGTAACCAGTTTAGATTCAAGCTCTGAAAGTCGTTGAAGTCTCTTGTTCACTGTTTTAAGAGGATAGAAATATATTTTTGTGAAAATAAAGTTGCTAGTATTTTTTTTTTATCATGCTGCTAAGTGCAATTATGTGTTTTTCGGGTTACTTTTACCCCACCTCACCTGTCTAGATTTCTTTTTCCTCTGAGTTGAAGCTGGTGCTGCTTGGTTTTCCTTGTCATGTCACGGTAGAATGAGGATGATACAATGCTTGCCTTTGCCATAGTAAATCGTGGCACCCCGCGTGCGATTAAGTCCTAAAGCGGCGACGTATGCAGCGGAACACATGCCCAGTGACGAACTGAACCACGAATATGACACTGACCTGTGGCTGGCGTCGAACCGTTTTTAATCGTTAATATCAATAACGTACGAGGAAGTTAACCAACGAAAAGTCGAACCACAACTGCCTGCAGTTGAACAGAGAAACTGAAGCGAGTGGCAACTGCAGTCTTACCGTAGTCCAACTACAGTCAAACAGGAACTGGAGAATTATTTCAAAATTTCAGTCCGTTCAAAGTCCAGTCGTAGTTCCAATGGACTGCAATTGCAACCAAACTGGGACCATATTAGGACAATAGTTCAACTGCAACTGAACTGCTGCTTTCAAATCAACCATTGAGTCGGTCTGAGGACCACACTGTTGAAATTAGCCTTTGACGCACAAATGAGAAGCTTCAAATCCGCAATATTTCAGCAAAATGCCTGTGTTTATCTTCAGTGACTATACTCACTCACTATATTGACTCCTCATTCTCTCCGACCCCTAGATAGTACCCCACAATAAGCAGAAAGTATTGCTTTCATCTGGTTTTGGCATGTACCTGACAATCGATTGAGGATTATGTGCGAGTTTCATAGCTTTTGCTTCCCCGGATTCAGGCCGACGTTAAAAAAATATTGGCAATCCTGTTATACAGGGTGATCCAAAAAGGTGTTCTCCAAATAATTTATCCTACAAACCAAAATACTTAAGTTAGGGACTTGAAATTTGGCACCCTGCTTACTATAGTCCTTAAGTTTTTGTGTGCAACATCACATCTTAACATGACCACGTGCTCATTCATGACACAACCTGATGCAATGCGAGGTCAGTCCAAGTTTTTGCTAGCATGTTGGGGTGATAGTGGCAACTGTTACGATGATTTTCTCTTCCAAATTGGCCAAATCAGTAAGATTAGACATGAATACCCTGTCCTTTGCATATCTTCAAAAGAAAAATTCTGCTGAGGTTAGATCCAGAGAGTTAGGTGGCCATGGTATTGGTCCTCCTTGGCCACACCAGTTGTTGCTGCATCTTGCATGATCTTATTTATGAGCTTTTCTTCATTGCCGAGCAATTGATTTGTTTGGGACCGTATTTGAACCAGCTGCAACAGTATTTACAGCTTCCGCTAGATGAGGACGGCATGGATAACATCATTTTTCAGCAGGAAATAGCCCCTCCACAGGTCCATTGATGTCTGTAATCACCTTGATGAGACCTTCAACAACAACTGGTGTTGCCGAAGAGGATCAATACTGTGGGTATAACAACAGCAGACTTTTTCTTCTGGGGATGTGCAAAGGACAGGGTATACTTTTCTGGATCTACGGATTCGGTCATTTGAAACAGAAAATCATCGTTCTTCATCAACTTGGACGGACCATCCTATGCCTCAGTTTGTGTCATGAACGTGCACGTGGTCATGTTCAGGTGTGACGTTGCACACAAAAAGTTAAGGACCATAGTAAGCATGGTACCAAATTTAAAGTCCCTAATTACTTTGTACTAAGTACTTTGTACCTAAGTACTTTGGTTTGTACAGTAAATTATTTTTGGAACACCTTTTGGATCACCCTATATTCCAGGTGGGACAGGAATAGATGGACTCACATCCCTGTGAAGAAAATCTGGGCGAGGCAATGCTTTCCAAGGAATTCGTATCCACCCTCGGAATTCACTGAGACCTTGAGACATTCATCGAAATTCCCCAAAGAATACACATTTCCGTAGAGGTACCCTGCAGGGATCTTTCCGCTTGCATCCGCCACTGTCAACAGACACCAATGCATCACCAAGTATTTTCTGCTAATGGGATTTCGATATTGTGCAGGAGATTTCAGCTTACTGAGCATGGACCAGGTGGAGGCATTTTCGGATGTGAGGTCTTGGAGGAAGAAGTTGAAGTGATTCTTGCAGTGTTCATCAACGTCAGGGTGATTGAAGTCAGGCAGGAATCCCTGATCTAATCCCAATAGACCCATTCTCGCTCTCAGCTCATTCCTCCCCGTTCGTTCATGTTTAATGAACGCTCCTTGCCCGGGTTCAAGGCTGAACAGGCAGAGAAGAAGCAACAACCACATTCTGTACCTGCTCGTCGTGAGTCGTTCTTGTGACTGGAACGAGCAGCAGTCTCATCACATGCTTATGCCATTTTATTGTCAAGTAGCCACTTTCACCTTATCTATTTTTTTGGTATAAGACTTACTTATTGGTTCCAGATAAAAAATAACATTATTTTATCTCATTGAGGACTCATTCTGCGACTCTTGAAGTTTCTTTGAATGCCGATGCGGATACCTCGTGCCTCCCCATTAGCACTAGGTTTTCTTCCAGATGGCAACATTAAATGAAAAATGCTAATTTCTTGTGCTTGTTCAAATAGACTTCATCAAGATTATTTTAAAGCTGATTTGCCATTACCCGATTCATGAGCGTGAAATGCTCTTATGAAATCCCCATGACCCCATGTGCTTGTTCTAGATTTATTTTTTCTTTCTCCTGTCCAGTCTGTAGCAGCCTGCCAGAAGCCTACCTAGTCAGGGCCGGATAAACAAGTTGCGAGGCCCGGGGCAAATGAATTCCTGGGGCTCCCCCCTCCCCTCCCGCTACTTTGCGCAAGTACTTCACGTATTTAATTTCCTTCGAGGGCCCCCTGGAAGGGTGGGGCCAAGGGCAACAGCCCCCTTTGCCCCTCCTTAATCCGGCCCTGCCTACAGTAGACTTTGCGTGTCAGTTTATAGTTTTTGCATCCCATGTAATCATCTCGCAGACAAATTTCCATTACTTTGGAATTTCTTGAAAACAAAGGCAGTTTTCTGAAAAAAAAAATACGTATGATTTAAAATTCCATAATCAAAGCTGAAAAATGTGTTCAACAAAACTACACTGCTAGTACGTAGTTCTCACATTTTCCGGCAGACGGAAGCTAGAAGTCCCTGCTGAAAAAAAAAACCTGAAAAAAATTCCGACAGAGGTCTCATGATCGATATCATGAAGCTAATCTCAGGCCTATGCGCCATTTACCTCTTTGAGGCATGTAAGCCAAGGAAGGGTCTCTAAGGACTCCGGTTGCCAGGTCGCTATTGTCCTTTCAAGTGACAAAAAAGCAAGCTGATTCCTCACCACGATCTTTTTTTTTTTAATTCTCATTCTGTCTCTTCATTCTTTTCGCCAGATTTGTCTCTAGTCTCCATGAACAAAGCAAATTTTTTGGACGAATTTCTCTAGGAATTCCAACATCCCCATCGACGTTCTCTGTGGAAATAGCAATGTACAATATGGGAAGTACGAGGGATATCCAGAAAAAAAGGTTACAAGTGCCCTGGAGGGTGCAGGGAATTTTTTTTTTCGAAGGTTGGCATACCTGCGTGTAGGGGGGTTCCTAACGGTCAAAATAAGCCCGGGACCGCGTCAGTCAGTTGTGAAATGTCGTCACAGCAAGCGAGTTCGTCAACCTCTGCTGAGGCCGTTTGCTCCACCTACCGCCGATGCGAGATTCGTTCGGTCATCAAGTTCCTCACTTTGCGTCGCGAATCCGCGGCCGAGANGAGACAGTGGAGAAGTGGTTTTCGGAGGTGGAGCGGAGCGTATTCGACGAGGGTATAAAAAAGCTGGTGCCCAGGCTGAAGAAGTGCATCGAAGTTGACGGCGATTATGTTGAGAAATAAACACATATTTTGGAACATACCCTGTAAATTTGGTTGAAATATATTCATTTTTCGATTTTTAACAGCTGTTGTAACCTTTTTTTCTGGATATCCCTCGTACATAGGAGATGTATTAGCAGCTATCTAACTCCGATCTCATGTCATTTGTGTTACCTAACGGAGTATCTGGAGTTTTCAGGGAATGGCACTCAAAGGGCATCTCAGAGAATCATCACTAAGCGATCCGCGGGACAGGACACTAGGATGTCCTCAGGATTCATGTAATTATGGATGATGGCCCTCATATTGTTACTGTACACTCCCATGGGACGTATCCGACGGACATGATTTCTCCGCAAGAGATGTCTTTAGGACTCCCGAAGATATCCTGATGCTGGCGGAATAGGTACTAAGGCTACTTCCAAAGAGTGTCCTGCAGTTGACACTCTGAAGACATCCTCAGGATGTTTCTCCGGCAGCACAATACATTGGCCCCACGTTGGCTGCGTGTGGGGAAAAGTGGCCTTACATTGCAGTGGGCTGCCCATGTTAGCCCCACATTGGCGCTTGGGTGGCAGCCAACATTTGTCATGACTCAGAACACGATATCTATCTCAGTTATTTGAGCAAAAAGCTTCCCGCAGATTAAACAAGATTGCAGGTATGTAGCCACTAGTACAACAAAAAGCATTCCCACAGTTGATGCGAGGTGACGATTTTGCTGCCGCTATTTCATTTGGATCAGGGAGTGATTCATTAATTTAAGACTCCAATACTTTCTTGTGGTACTTGATCCATTTCCATAAATAACGTGAAGTAAGACATTCGAATTTTTGATTGGAAAATCCTGGTACATCAGCCCCACTAACTCTTTGCTCTCAGCTCTCACTTTCGCACGCGGACACTTGATAAGGCCCTTCCGGCCAGCTGGATCCGCAAACGCCTTTAGATCTTAGGGGCATCTGTCCTTAGCCCTTCCGATAGGATGTAAATATAATATCGATTTAAATAAAATCACACTTCACTAACTCATGAAGTAAAACGGCTAGGACCCTATAGATCTCACTCCTCTTTGGCTCAGGTGGACCTAAACGCTAAGTGCCCCAAAACACTGATACTAACCTCAGGTTGCTTTCCGAATAAGGCCGCATAGTTACTTACTCTTTAATTAAACTCCTAAAGGTAAAAAAAAACATCAAGGGAGAGATCCTGGGGGGGGGAAGCAGCTCTCTCTTGGGCTGACTTCTCCCCCATAGCCATGAGTCACCCTCTCAGGGCTAAGTCGTTAGCTTCATGATGGTCTTGCTCTCTGCCAGCCCTCATGTTGGGAGGATCTCACCATGGTGAGCAAGAGTCATGTGTGAGTCATGTGCCGCCACATGGCAGCGGGGCCCACCATACCTTAGCTCCTAATTTAATTTTTTTTTAAGATCACGTTTCAGTGATTGTTGAGGCTGCGTCTGGTGCACCTCAGGGAGGGTCGGATGTGATTGAAGATAATCCTTCCAGTCTTACACAAGCACTTCCACAGTGGACGAAGGGCTTAATGCAACTCAAATCCTATTATGGAAAGTGAAGGCGTAACATGGGAGGAATTTCCTAGAGTACTTCCAGCCAGACGAGAGAGACTCGGTGGCAAGGTCCCCGGTAGGGGAGCTCAACAATTACGTACGGAAATACGATTGCAACAGAAACCTCCTTTAATCGCCCGAATATCATGGCGCACGTCGGCATTTGACGTTAGCCCAACGTGGGACCGCGGGACAAGCCTACGAGGGACCAACGTTGGGCCCATATGGCAAATGTCGAATTCCAACATGGGCCCAACGTTGGCCCAACGTTAGTGTGCTGCCAGGGCCATAGGCGTCCCTGCATTTAGATAGCCTGCAAAATTCTGAGTGGACGCCGAAAGGTGCATTGTATACTCAGCATACTTAGAGATATTCCGCTAACGAGAACGTACAACAAAAGAAAATCCCCTAGTCAACAAATGTAAGCAATTATAGTGATATGTTAGCAGAATGATGAAGAAAGTGAAGTCAGTTTTAGAATCGCTAAAGACGATCAGATTTATTCGAATAGAAACCTGAACAAAAGATGGCTTGGATACAAATATTCCATGATTTTTAAATATTTATTTTGATAAGAAATACAACTGATTGCACTGCTGGGTCATCAGGACGGGATTACGTTAGTCTTCCCACGATCCTCATCCTCGTATCCCTGGTTTACCACTCCATCCTTGGTGAGACCCTTTTCGTGAATCTCCTCTTTCCCGATTCCATTATAGACTCCGTTTTCATGGACTGTCTCTGCTCCGTTCTGGTTGGCTGTAGTTGGCTTCGATTCCCCTATAAATAATGAAATATAGCAGTTGGGCATGTCTGGGTTCTCCTCAAAGCTCATACAACTTACCTGGGAAGAGGAAAGTCTTCTCAAGGACGAGGATTGGGGATTCTCCGATCAGAGTCAGAATGAAAGCGATTGCATGGATGATGATAACCGTGGCCAGGAAATCGATCACCTGTAAGGTAGTAATCTGCTGACTGAAATGCACAAATTCGATGTACGCTTTCCTCAATAATGTGTTAATATTGCCTGTGTCTCATGATCGAAATAGACTGAGGTCTTGGTACTCCACCAGAACCAGGGCAGGATGTAAACGTGAGTCAAATAGGCAGAATAGGTCAGCCGTCCCAAGGGAATGAAGGCTTTCCCGCTCAAAAGCGCATCAATGGGACCTACGAAGACATGAACCAATGTATTGTCCGATTTAAAAATAACGATAGAAGAGAATGGATGAAAAGATAAGATTGATAGAGCGAGATTGACCTCCGCTGCCAGCAGCGCACGCGAGGATGACCCAGGCAACTCCACAGGCCCAGGCTATTCGAAAGAGGGCGTTGTAGGTGAGCTGAAGGTCGCGAGGCATCTGAGGAGAATCCAGGGGCATGTAGCCGTAGATACCGTAGAGTACGGCGAGGTTACACGCTGTCGCCATCGCCCATCCCCACGCTGCTGTCCCCTTTTAAACAGACCCAATACGCTATCAGAAACTATTGAGATATTGGTTTTCTGGGAATCACACGAGATGGGATACTTTTGGGAATCGAAATCCTGTCTTCTTCATGCGATGGAGAAGGTATCCTGTGAGGATTCCAATAAGATAGGGACCTAGTCGCATCCACGGTTTCACATAATAGAGGTCAAAGTTATCCGTGTTGGGCAAGGGGCTAGAATGAAGAAAACAGTCGATATCCTAAGTAATAGTCTTAACATAAATAAATATATGAAAATATCTGGTATCTGACTGCGTGAAATCGTAGCCGGTGTTGGTTCCAGGCAAATCGTAGTGCTTCATGACCAAGACTGTAGCCAGGGCGCTCAATGCTGTACCCACAACTGCCAGGCAAGCACCTGATATGAAAAGTTTTTATGCTGTTTTTCCGATTTTGAGTAGAGTTCATTCGTTGGATGCGCGAACGCCTCTCACCCCAAACAGGCCACAAAAAGAGGGGAAAGATGAAGAGTGGTGAGATGATGTACATTTGCATGTCGTTGGCCATGTACCACGTATGCAGTGCACACTATCAGAAATGTTCAGTCAAAGTGATAGTGCGACATTGGTGGAATACAGATACGTGACAGAGTTGACGAACCATTTCCTCTTGCTTAAAGAAGTTGTTGATGTAAAGGAGGTTCCTCCACCAGTAGTCTTCGCAGGGCTTCGTCATGAGTTGGTTTACATAGAAATAGTAAGGNATGGACTGTCTCTGCTCCGTTCTGGTTGGCTGTAGCTGGCTTCGATTCCCCTATAAATAATGAAATATAGCAGTTGAGCATGTCTGGGTTCTCCTCAAAGCTCATACAACTTACCTGGGAAGAGGAAAGTCTTCTCAAGGACGAGGATTGGAGATTCTCCGATCAGAGTCAGAATGAAAGCGGTTGCATGGATGATGATAACCGTGGCCAGGAAATCGATCACCTGTAAGGTAGTAATCTGCTGACTGAAATGCACAAATTCGATGTACGCTTTCCTCAATAATGTGTTAATATTGCCTGTGTCTCATGATCGAAATAGACTGAGGTCTTGGTACTCCACCAGAACCATGGCAGGATGTAAACGTGAGTCAAATAGGCAGAATAGGTCAGCCGTCCCATGGGAATGAAGGCTTTCCAGCTCAAAAGCGCATCAATGGGACCTACGAAGACATGAACCAATGTATTGTCCGATTTAAAAATAACGATAGAAGAGAATGGATGAAAAGATAAGATTGATAGAGCGAGATTGACCTCCGCTGCCAGCAGCGCACGCGAGGACGACCCAGGCAACTCCACAGGCCCAGGCTATTCGAAAGAGGGCGTTGTAGGTGAGCTGAAGGTCGCGAGGCATCTGAGGAGAATCCAGGGGCATGTAGCCGTAGATACCGTAGAGTACGGCGAGGTTACACGCTGTCGCCATCGCCCATCCCCACGCTGCTGTCCCCTTTTAAATAGACCCAATACGCTATCAGAAACTATTGAGATATTGGGTTTCTGGGAATCATACGAGATGGGATACTTTTGGGAATCGAAATCCTGTCTTCTTCATGCGATGGAGAAGGTATCCAGTGAGGATTCCAATAAGATAGGGACCTAGTCGCATCCACGGTTTCACATAATAGAGGTCAAAGTTATCCGTGTTGGGCAAGGGGCTAGAATGAAGAAAACAGTCGATATCCTAAGTAATAGTCTTCACATAAATAAATATATGAAAATATCTGGTATCTGACTGCGTGAAATCGTAGCCGGTGTTGGTTCCAGGCAAATCGTAGTGCTTCATGACCAAGACTGTAGCCAGGGCGCTCAATGCTGTACCCACAACTGCCAGNACATAAATAAATATATGAAAATATCTGGTATCTGACTGCGTGAAATCGTAGCCGGTGTTGGTTCCAGGCAAATCGTAGTGCTTCATGACCAAGACTGTAGCCAGGGCGCTCAATGCTGTACCCACAACTGCCAGGCAAGCACCTGATATGAAAAGTTTTTATGCTGTTTTTCCGATTTTGAGTAGAGTTCATTCGTTGGATGCGCGAATGCCTCTCACCCCAAACAGGCCACAAAAAGAGGGGAAAGATGAAGAGTGGTGAGATGATGTACATTTGCATGTCGTTGGCCATGTACCACGTATGCAGTGCACACTATCAGAAATGTTCAGTCAAAGTGATAGTGCGACATTGGTGGAATACAGATACGTGACAGAGTTGACGAACCATTTCCTCTTGCTTAAAGAAGTTGTTGATGTAAAGGAGGTTCCTCCACCAGTAGTCTTCGCAGGGCTTCGTCATGAGTTGGTTTACATAGAAATAGTAAGGCCCAGATCCTAATCGACTCATGTAGACCGTAGTGAACCCGATGAGCAGGGCGAGGACCGGCGTCAACCTGTAACATGGGTAAGACAAGCCTCTGTCGTGTGAAACGTATGATTGAAGGAGTGGGCATTATATTAATTGCAATGCATTATCGGACATGCCATGATGGACAAGTGTGAAACTTTAGCAGAGCCCCTGAGACTTTCGCTTGGAAAAAGTTGTTTTCTTACATTTGAGATTGTAATTTCACATGATTGTTAATTTTTTTTTTACGAAAGGGAGTTTTCCTGTTAATTATTTCGAAACCTCTCAGATTCCTCCTCATGGAGTGTTACTCGAGGAATTCCTTCTCTTTGGCTGACAGCTATCAATGACTTGGAAATGAAATGTATTCATTATTACCTCATTTGTTTATGGAAAAATGATTGGTGCTGTTGGATAGTCCATCATTGATGAAATTCCAAGAGTCTGATAATACTTGCTGATAGCAGATTTCTGTATTACTTTCCGATGATCTGCCTGCTAGTATCAGGAGATTCATTATCACACTTGAGTAGAGTTACGGGCAAGTTACTTTCTGCAATTCACTATTTATCAGGTAGAAGTATTCAGCAAATAATAATGGAGAGGTACTTCTACCGTTACTTGGAAAACAGAAGCCGTTACAATAGCTTCCGTGTCTCTTTCGCCAAAAGGAGTTAAGGCTACTCTTCAGTTTTACAAAATGCATTTCTTTTGAAGAAAAAAAAGATGGTTTCGGCCTGTAAAAAAAAAAAAAATTATTTGTTACAGTGAGGTGTTTCTCTGACTCATTTACAACATACAATTGCCGATCACTGCTCATGTTATTACACTTTCACCCATTTAATCATGAACTCTTGCTAGTTTCCAGCCATTACACAGGGTTCCTTGCACAAATGCAATAGAATTTCCACGGATGAATGATACACGGCGTGTTTAGCCCTTTCTTGCATGGTGTCCACTGTAGTGGACAACAAAGTTTTTGGTGATTATTATGAGTTTTCAGCCATGGTACTCATACCTCGAAACTTTTGGTGCGTGCAGTCAACTCAAGGACACATAATCTGTTCAGTGTTGCTTTCTAGCAGTAGAACATTCTACTACTACGGCAGAGTACTTTCTTAAACGTTAATTTCTTAAACCATGAATGGAAAATTTTTGTTTTGCTTTAAAAATTCGTGCACGAAAGGGTTAGGCATCCACCAGATGTTCGCTTACTCTCGAGTGCACGGTGGTGGTGGAGAAGGAGGAGGAGAATGACCTGAGATATCGATGGAAGTAAAAGCGGAAGATGTTGAATCTCCCCTTGTTCCTCTCCAGTTCTTTCAAGAGAAGGTAGGCGACCAGGAGGCCACTGAGGAGGAAGAACGTGTCTACTGACACGACGGCGTTTGAGATCGCTGTGAACTTCCAATCCTTCATTACCTGCAATCATCATGAAGCTTCATAAACTACCTCTTTTAAATACATTATAAAAGGTGCAAATTCAAGATCTATGATGAATGGATTCACTAAATTAAAAAGAATAGCTATTTTATTACGTATTTAACGTTTACGGTAAAATGGTAACGTTAATTGAACAGAGGAAACGTTCGCATAAAAACCTTTGCAGGAAGAAGGAGATAAAAAGGGGTATATAAGGAAAGGAAAAGCATATAAGGAAATTCAGTTATTCGGATGAAAAGAGGATTCATTAAGTCCCTTAAAAACCGAATCCAAAATGTCACTCATGCCCCCATTTATGGAATGGACAAATAAAAAGATTTCATGTTCGTTTCGAGCACGATACTTTCCCAATTCCAACCAATTTCTTGTCTTCACGTGAACTGCATGAATGAACAGAAGTGCCTACACCTTCTACTTTTCTTCTTGCCACAAATATATTTCAATGCTGTACACATCCAAAAACAATAGTATCCTGATTGCCTGCTACCAATTTAACCCAAACGTTCCGCCATCGGATATGGTTATTATCTATGTGACCAATGCTTCGTCATATGCCGGAATCCCAGCAGGAAGCAAGCCTTAGTCTTTCTTTTGTTGGTTAATATGACACTATGTCATATTGGCCAACAAAAGAATGATGAAGACTGACATATCGGAACATATGGGGACGTTCTCCCAATATGACGACATATTGGGAGAACAACCCTTGAACTCCGAAACTCCTAATGCGAATTTCGATGCCAAATCAGCGTTTATGCGTTGATGCGGAAATTTTAATGGACTCCCAACACATACAGGCTTGCAAGCTCTATCGCTTCCAGAGTCGATTTTTCTGATGCCACTGATCAAAGCAGTCACTATAGTATAAGATTATTCAACCAGCCGCGTTGTACAGTTTCTCTTTTTCGACCAGGTTGGACTAAATAACGTTAGATTCTCGCCTCGAGGAAATCGAATGGGTTGACAGCCGGAATACTCATGAGCTTGAAGGTGTAAACATGCCCGAGCACCACCCACGTCATAGTCAGAAACCTGCACGAAAGAGGCAGATGTTGAGTGAGGACTTCCCATTTGCTTCACTGTGGACCAAGCCGTACAGACCTGATTCCGTTGAGGCATCCGATATTGTCCTTTCCGGTCTTGGTCGAAAGGATCTTCTCCCCATTGGTGAGAAATGAGCCGGCAATCAGGATCTTTTCTATGTTCCCTGTACATCCGTCAAGCACTGATGAATTATATTGGCTTTGAAAATGAATTTGAAGTTTCTCTCGTTAGTGAGAGATATTTTCATTACGTCGAGGGCTATATTCGTTTCTAGTTCCCAGTTCGGACAAGGTATATCCTTTACAATTCCTGTTTCCGAGTAGTAGTAATCGAGTAGAATTCGATTCGCAATTACAAATACATAGGTGTCGCTACTGCGACAATCATAATGAGTCCCTTAGATCCCATGGAAGATTGGCATTTTCAAGACCACTATCGAATTTGATGAGCTTTGGTTTGGTGCCCACCCCACCTCTTGCGTGCACTTGTCCTACCCGCCTAGTGTTGCTCATCCCCTAGTGAGCGGAATTTCCTAGAATCGCATACCATGCCGATGAGTCTGTGGAGGGTCAGTGTGCCCTGTGCTCAAACTGCATTATTTGTCTAAAATGGAATCTACTACATTAAAGTAGAACCGAATGTACAATAATCACCTTCTGATAATGAGGTTTAGGATTTCCCAAATACTCCATAGTTACAAACATTTTCTGATGCAAAGATCTAATAATCCAAGCAAAGGATATATTGTATAATTATCCACATTATGAAAAGCTAAGCCATAGTTCAAGGAAATTGGAGATTTTCCAGTTTTGATTGAATAGTGACCTCATTCCAACCTAAATTTGACAGAGGTATCACGATTTCAACGATTTCAATTGGTTTTAACATTTCAAAATGATTAAAATATTAAATATTTAGGGTTAATTTAGGACCGAATATAGATATTATCAATATATGAATAAATCTACTATTATTTGATTTTCCTCTCTTTCAGCTTTAATTTGAGCTATGAACCAACTTTAGAGCAAAAGTTAAGGAAGCATGTGTGAACTGGAGGTCAATTTTCCCTGGGGCCAAATTTCAAAGGCTTCTCTTGTCGCCAATATACTATCGCAATACTGGTTCAAGATTTTGGCTTCTCGTTATTTTCTTTGTGGNGGAGGCCACTGAGGAGGAAGAACGTGTCTACTGACACGACGGCGTTTGAGATCGCTGTGAACTTCCAATCCTTCATTACCTGCAATCATCATGAAGCTTCATAAACTACCTCTTTTAAATACATTATAAAAGGTGCAAATTCAAGATCTATGATAAATGGATTCACTAAATTAAAAAGAATAGCTATTTTATAACGTATTTAACGTTTACGGTAAAATGGTAACGTTAATTGAACAGAGGAAACGTTCGCATAAAAATCTTTGCAGGAAGAAGGAGATAAAAAGGGGTATACAGTATAAGGAAAGGAAAAGCATATAAGGAAATTCAGTTATTCGGATGAAAAGAGGATTCATTAAGTCTCTTAAAAACCGAATCCAAAATGCCACTCATGCCTTTATGGAATGGACAAATAAAAAGTTTTTATGTTCGTTTCGAGCACGATACTTTCTCAATTCCAACCAATTTCTTGTCTTCACGTGAACTGCATGAATGAACAGAAGTGCCTACACCTTCTACTTTTCTTCTTGCCACAAATATATTTCAATGCTGTACACATCCAAAAACAATGCTACTCAAACGTTCCGCCATCGGATTACCAATAATAGATACACTGGTTACGAAGCAGTATACGGCCTTAGGGTCGTCCTTCGTTCGGAATCAGAAAGAAAACAACCAATTATACTGTGATACAGTATAACCGGTTGTTTTCTTACTACTTCTGTGACATATCGGAACATATGGGGACGTTCTCCCAATATGACGACATATTGGGAGAACAACCCTTGAACTCCGAAACTCCTAATGCGAATTTCGATGCCAAATCAGCGTTTATGCGTTGATGCGGAAATTTTAATGGACTCCCAACACATATAGGCTTGCAAGCTCTATCGCTTCCAGAGTCGATTTTTCTGATGCCACTGATCAAAGCAGTCACTATAGTATAAGATTATTCAACCAGCCGCGTTGTACAGTTTCTCTTTTTCGACCAGGTTGGACTAAATAACGTTAGATTCTCGCCTCGAGGAAATCGAATGGGTTGACAGCCGGAATACTCATGAGCTTGAAGGTGTAAACATGCCCGAGCACCACCCACGTCATAGTCAGAAACCTGCACGAAAGAGGCAGATGTTGAGTGAGGACTTCCCATTTGCTTCACTGTGGACCAAGCCGTACAGACCTGATTCCGTTGAGGCATCCGATATTGTCCTTTGGCCAGAACCAGCTTTCCTAGAAGAGGGGTAACCACTCTTTACTCGGCCGTTAGTCCTAGAAAAGATACAAGGGACATGTAGGCAGTTCGTGACTACTTAATATAACCGAAACTTTTACTTAAACTTGTTTCTCTCGTTAGTGAGAGATATTTTCATTACGTCGAGGGCTATATTCGTTTCTAGTTCCCAGTTCGGACAAGGTATATCCTTTACAATTCCTGTTTCCGAGTAGTAGTAATCGAGTAGAATTCGATTCGCAATTACAAATACATAGGTGTCGCTACTGCGACAATCATAATGAGTCCCTTAGATCCCATGGAAGATTGGCATTTTCAAGACCACTATCGAATTTGATGAGCTTTGGTTTGGTGCCCACCCCACCTCTTGCGTGCACTTGTCCTACCCGCCTAGTGTTGCTCATCCCCTAGTGAGCGGAATTTCCTAGAATCGCATACCATGCCGATGAGTCTGTGGAGGGTCAGTGTGCCCTGTGCTCAAACTGCATTATTTGTCTAAAATGGAATCTACTACATTAAAGTAGAACCGAATGTACAATAATCACCTTCTGATAATGAGGTTTAGGATTTCCCAAATACTCCATAGTTACAAACATTTTCTGATGCAAAGATCTAATAATCCAAGCAAAGGATATATTGTATAATTATCCACATTATGAAAAGCTAAGCCATAGTTCAAGGAAATTGGAGATTTTCCAGTTTTGATTGAATAGTGACCTCATTCCAACCTAAATTTGACAGAGGTATCACGATTTCAACGATTTCAATTGGTTTTAACATTTCAAAATGATTAAAATATTAAATATTTAGGGTTAATTTAGGACCGAATATAGATATTATCAATATATGAATAAATCTACTATTATTTGATTTTCCTCTCTTTCAGCTTTAATTTGAGCTATGAACCAACTTTAGAGCAAAAGTTAAGGAAGCATGTGTGAACTGGAGGTCAATTTTCCCTGGGGCCAAATTTCAAAGGCTTCTCTTGTCGCCAATATACTATCGCAATACTGGTTCAAGATTTTGGCTTCTCGTTATTTTCTTTGTGGTCCTTACACTCGTAAAATTGCATCAACGTTTAGGTAGTCGAGCGCAAAATCTTTCAAGTGTCGGTACACGATGTGGAATGACCCAAAGGCATCTTAATAGGTCCTTTGGCTGGCTCTTCGCAAGTCCTCGTTGCAAAGCTTGAAATAGGTTTTTACCACGTTTTTTCAAAGCTGGAAACATCGGGACTCCACGGTTAAAAAATAAACAAGCGAAGGCTATGTTTCCCTCCCGTTTTACTTTGAGAAGAGAAAAGAGAGGAAACAGCGAAAAGAAAGAAAAATTGGAGTTAGCGCTCTCCTTTTTCTAAGAGGGTTCGGTAAGATTGCAACATCGCAGCTATCTGAAAAGCAATAGAGGAGAGATGGGAACACTCATCGATCATGGGATGGATGAGTGTTTCCACTTGATCGCGAAGAAGGTCGCGCCTACATGACGAAACACGTCGCAACTCCAACAGCCTTCGATTTAAAAAATTCCAATAGGGCATGTCACACGTGCAACCCTGTCGCAATAACGAAACCATCGACAATACTAGCAGAATTACTTTTACGACTTGGGCTATTTGAGAAGATGTAGATTAACGATGAGGCAGGAAACTTGAATCATTAGGACAATCCGATAATTTTGGGGGGTCTTAGACACTCTTCATCTGTACTATAGCCTCACCTAGAAGTTCCTTCTTGCCGGACATTCGCTGGTAAATGTCCAGTGCAGTTCCGGCAAACAAATACAATCCGATAATCACGAACATGATCCTGGAAGATTCGAGACGAAGATTATTTAAGAATGAGTTTGCCACGATTGACTTGAATTTATTTTATTTTATGCTTACGTTAATAAGAACAATGTATAAGTCATGAGTTACTTACGTTACACCGATTTCAGCCGGGCTCAACGCTTTATGACTGGCGTCGTCACAGCTCAGAATATTGGATACCAACGAGTAATTCTTCACCGTCTCGTCCAGCGACGCCTACATGGTCAGGAAAAAAAATTATTCGCGGAGTTCCATTCAACACACTACCCTATTGTTTGCAATACCCGAAGATCCGATGAGGAGCAGGTGCTAGGGATGCAGAGTCCGATCTCGAAGAGAGAAGCCTGGCCGAATCCTGAGGCTGCGGCGGCTGCTCCGGCGGAGAGGGGGCCCACAGCAGTCCATCGTTGGCCCACAGTGGTCAGTATTTGATGTCCTTGCGCGCCCTCAGTCTTGTCTTTCCTGGAAAAGGGTTTTGTCGCTCACGCTTCGCTTTTTTACCTGGCAGGGAATATTCTCGTTCCGCTCAAATTCGACTGGACTTCCTTTTTTTAAAATTCATGGTACAGGAAAAGCTGCCTGCCACACCCAGTCAACAATTTTTCACCGGGCCATCGATGACTTTTCGTCGACGCGTCTATAAGCCGTAGTCAGGCCTTCACTGGCACATGTTTAAGCCGGCTTATAGTCAGGCATTTCCTGTTGGCCCTTCATTGGACCAACTTTGGCTCATTGTTGGGAAACCGCACATGCCCCAACCTTTAGCCGACTTTTCACAATGGTGAAAAGATATAGGAAAAAAAAACAACAAAGTGCATCTGCAGCATTATGTACCTGGAGTGATAAGAATGCATCCTTTGACCCACTACTGCTCTTTCACCTGGTAGAGATGAAGGAGTAGGACCTTACCAGAGTACCTTACACAGATACACTCCTATCGCCAAGAATATCCCAAGCAGCACCCCTTTCGGATACTAAGGCATCCAGGAGCGGACCCACATGGAAATACATGGGTATCTGTCCTCCCGCAAGAAACCAGGCACGCAAAATAGAACCTTACAATGTCTTTAAGTTGACGAGAAACAGTCGCGTGGCCTAATGTGGAGAGTAGAAGGATCCTCCCACGGACCTCCGGGCCTGAATTTCCTGGTTTGTTCCAGGGCTAGGTTACATCCTCAGAGAAATGTTTCAAAGAATTCAATTGTCTTCCTCTGAGATCTATGTGCGAAACCATAGGGAACTCTGTCAAAGGACAGGGGGCTCATTTCAGTAGAATTCGAGAAGTGACTCCGTACTACGACCACTTCGGCTCCATCTCACTCCGGTTTTCGGAACCTTCTCAACCACATTGGCTCATCTTCGGCCAATGATTTGCCAGCCTGGTCAGTCAATCATTCGCCGAAAATGAGCAAATTTCCCCAGCTGTGGCCCGACGATAAACAAATGAACATTTTGACTGCGCAGATGCTGCTCAATTTCAGCAAGTATCTGCTATTCCACTTGTTCAAATCGATTTTGGAAAATTAGAAATAGTAAACTGACGTGGTAATTACATATTTTGGTGCCTAACTTGCAAAATGTTTGCAAAGGGTGCAAGCTGAGACTGTAAGATTGACACTCCCTCATTATGTTTAGATTGACGAAGCTGAGAGACCATTCCTTTGTCATCCCTTCTGAAACCCAAGAGAGTTTCATCGGCGCTGCGATAATTAAAACATCTAGCGTCTGTGAAGGGGAGGGCTATTGTGGACAATTTGGGATTGTCACTTCTCGTGTCAATGACTTCAACGGAATTCGAAAGGAACGCCCGACATTGGTTCATCTAATTGAGTTCGTTAATAACGAAAGGAGGAGTCTTTGTGAGTGGTCAGCAATTCCTGCGCTATACAACTTGGGAAGAGAAAAATATGCAATCCTACCTTGTACCTGTGGTATTTACTGAACTACTGAGTACCACCCATTCGAGGTAATTCTGAGAAATTTCGATTTCAAGGTACGTTCGGAAACAAGCTTGTATTTGCCCTCAGTCAATACAGTGACACGGATTCTCTCCTACATGTAAATAGTATGCACGTACTAAGCAATTACTTTCACCTGTTTTGGGCCGATACTTGACCAACTATGGATACGGATTACGTGCGAGTTGCATGGCTCTTGCTTCCCCTGATTCGAAGCTATTTTCTAAAATTAATGGCATTCCTGTTATAATATGGGTGGGATAGCAATAGGTGGACTCACATCCCTGTGAAGAAAATCTGGGCGATGCAATGCTTTCCAAGGAATTCGTATCCACCCTCGGAATTCACTGAGACCTTGAGACATTCATCGAAATTCCCCAAGGAATACACATTTCCATAGAGGTACCCTGCAGGGATCTTTCCGCTTGCATCCGCCACTGTCAACAGACACCAATGCATCACCAAGTATTTTCTGCTAAAGGGATTTCGATATTGAGCAGGAGATTTCAGCTTACTGAGCATGGACCAGGTGGAGGCATTTTCGGATGTGAGGTCTTGGAGGAAGAAGTTGAAGTGATTCTGGCAGATTTCATTAACGTCAGGGTGATTGAAGTCAGGCAAGAATCCCTGATCTAATCCCAATAGACCCATTCTCGCTCTCAGGTCAATCCTCCCCGTTCGTTCATGTTTAATGAACGCCCCTTGCCCGGGTTCAAGGCTGAACAGGCAGAGAAGAAGCAACAACCACATTCTGTACCTGTTCGTCTTGAGTCCTTGCGGCGACTAGGATGAGTAACAAACAGTCTTTTCATAAGCCTCATGTCACTATCTCGTCAAGTTGCCGATTTCACTGCTTATCTGTTGCTTTGATTGTTTTTTTTTACATTATCAAAATCACTTACAACTTTGAGATAACAAATGAGAATGTTTTTCTTCCCCCCCCCCCCCTTTCAGGGCTCTCATACTGTAGCTATTGGAGTTCCTTGAGAGCGCTCGCACTGATTTTTCCTGCAGTATGTACGGTATAGGTTCTCAATCGTGTCATCTCCTTCAAATTTTGTGAGTACTACGAATCAACTACATTTAAAGTTATTTCTATCAAATTCTCAACTATCTCCATCGCGCGTAGCACCTCTCTCCTGTTTGGTGATCAATCTGCTAACCGTTTCGTCCAACCACGGATAATGAGGAGATTTTAAGGTTCATATTACATTCATTGACACCTCAAATCTGAAGGTCATGCTAAAAAAAAAATGTTTAACATAACAGAAAACAAATTGGTAATGTCATTTGTTGCCCATCGTTGACCGGCACGCTCCATCTTCGTTTCATGAGATAAAATATCAATAGAATACGCTATGGTGAGGCAAGGCCTCTTTTCGTGAATAATAACTAGGGGGAAAAGTTGCTCAGCTCCCGTAGTAAAGTAGTAATTATTAATAAGAGATAATTTCACAGTGTTCGATATAATTTTTCATAATTTAGCCAATGTGATAGCGTATTTAAATAATAGAAATATATAAGCAATCATAACTCTCGCTATGTAATGGTGACCATGAATTATATGTGGAACAGGAGGCATAATAATACCCGTATAGGTATAATAAACTAATGATAAGGATATTTTCCGGCAAAGAAGGTTGTTCATGACTTCCGAGAAGTCTCAGATTCGCTTTTCGCTACGATTTCCGAGAGGTGTATGACACCTTTCGTTTAGGATATTGCTGTTCAATATAAGTCTGATTTTCATTCTTATAACAGTAAGAGTTTAATCAAGTTCGGAAAATGCAGCGTTACCTGGATATCGCATCTTCAGCCTGAAACGCACCTGAAGACTTATCGATAATAGTAATAATAAAAGAACGGAAATAAGTCGTAAGACCTCCGGCCGAGATCTGTCTCGAAGGTGCCCCTGCCCCCTCTCCCGACTCCAGGCCCCACGAAGAAAAGAGCGAAAATTGCAGGCGTCCCATAGAGACGGGCGGATGCCGATCGGCCCCCCGCCTCCCCTTCGCCGTCCTCGAAACGAAGAAAGCGCAAACCCCCCCTCGTCCCTTCCTGTCCTCCTCCGCGACCTCGCCCAGCTCCATCAGCCCCACCAGAGGCCCCCGAACGCCTCGGCAGTCGCGGCCGAGCTCCTCCTGCAGCTGGTCGGGTCCCTGCGGACCTCTCCTCCTCCCCAGCCCCTACCCCCGTCCCCTCCGTCGTTCCTCGCCCAACTCTTATCAGGTGATTTCGCTGGGAAGACTCGCGATGTCTCTGCTTACAGCAATCGGCAGGTCAAAAGAGCATTTGTCTACAATATATACGTTTTGACATCTCCTTTCGGATGCTGGAACTGAGGGCATGCACAGCACAGTAATGACTAGATGCAAGCAAAATTTAAATTTAGTCTCCTTCGGGGGGGGAATGCGGATTTACCCAGACCGCCCGTACCCATCCATGTTCCTAAATCACGTTTGACAGTCTGGATCGCAAAGAAACTTATTTTTTTATTTTCGACACGATCATTTTCGTGAATCTTCACCTGCTTTCAGAAGCGACGAGAGGGAACCCGCGCGTGTTATTCGAGCAGCCGCCATTAGGAGAAGTCACAGAACGCGACCCAGTCGAAGCGAGGGGACCGGTCGAGATGAAGGGACTGGTCCCATCCATCTTCCTCGTGTTCTTCGCCGTGATGGGGATGGCGCTTTCCATCTACGTCGCGTTTACGACCGTGTATCGACCCAAGGCGGACGAGGACGCGAAGGACGCGGAGGAAGCCGAGTCGCATTCGTCGCCTCGTAGACGGCATCGTGACCGTGAGCATCGGGACAGTGAGCGGCATTGTCGCCGGCACCGATCTCGGCATTCCCAGTCGAAGTCTCCGAAGTCTCCCTCGAGGTCGCCCACGAGGTCGAGGTCTTCCTCGAGGTCACCCAAGAGGTCGAGGTCGAAAGCGAGGTCGAGGATGTCGACACGGTCGAGGTCGAGGTCGAGGACCAGAGACCCGATGGAGGACTTGCAGCCCATCGACCTAGAACCGGAACCCATCGACCTGGAACCGGAGCCGGAACCGGATGTTCGCCGGAACGCATCCCGAAAATCCAGACGGAAATCCCGCAGGCGACGTTCGAGACTCGGAATAAACGCGGCGGAAGTCGCGAGGGACGCGACGGAAGCATGCGAACGGGAGAGGCGAAGACGACCGGACGGAGCTTCTTCCCGGTCCCGACGGAGGCGCTGCAGTCGATCCCGGCCGAACCGGAGATTCCTCGCGTTCTGACCCTCGGTCGAGAGTCCTTTAACGGGCGAGAGACGTCTTTTCGAAGGCGAACGTGTGGTTGTGGACGCCGTCAGTCGCACGGCCGACGGACTCCCACGCATCCCAGGGGAATTAAAAATCAGATTTCCCCCAAGATTTCCACGTTTTTGTCGGAAAAATGCGGTGATCGCTGCCGGGCAGGCGGCACTTTTCGCATCCGACTCTTCGTCTCCGAGTGAGACATTCCGCACTTCGTCGGGCAAAAAATCTGCGGGGAGCAGAAATTGGTCGGGAAATGACGCCCGATCGTGCCTGTATCGCGCCCGATCGCGCCCGATCGTTTTCTCCGTAGATGAGCTGTTTGAAGGCGTTTAATCCCCGCCGGAAAATGCGAGCTCTTTCTGGCACATTCTTTTTAAGGCCCTTTTCGCTGTCGCTGAAATATCTGGCAACTGCGTCCGGCGCCCGACGAATTCCAGTTTTATTTCAACATTTAGCTCATCGCCATCGTTTACAAATTTTCGGATGATCCAGTCTTCGTTTCCGCGCAGAACACTGGCGAAAAGGCACGGAAGAAACAACTTGAAGGGCGAGTCCAGTTCAAGCCTCGAAACGGACGCAATTTATTTTTTAATCCAGCAGGTAATTTAAGTTGAATTGAGTCATAAAACGCTGATTGATCAAGGCGCAACAATCGGCTAAATGTCGTTAAACCTTCGAAGCGGCAAAGTTTGCAGTAGTTAAGTATGATTTTTAATCCAAGTCACGCATCATAAAAAAAATGTCATATTTTCAGGTTTCCAGAGAAGCCATAAGAAAATGTAAAATGGTTAAAATTTATTTTATTTGTCGTGAACAAGTGCAATGAACTGCTCCTTAATTTTTTTTTAATGAGTCCAGGTCCGCTTCCAGGGCTTGGAAGCGGGCGCGACCCGATAACCGGAAGGTTATCTCAGATAACCTCCGGCAGGAATCGTTACGTTCACCGAGATCCCCACATTTCCATTTCCAGATGAATGGGGAATGGCGTGGAATACGGAGATTTCATTGTCTACGGCGCGAAATGCATGCGAGGTCACGTGGTTCGTGTTTCGCATACGGATCCGTTTTTCTCAGGTGGATTCTCGACTTACGGATGTTTTCACGTCTGTTTTCGGTTCGGTCGTAAGCGGGCCGCGAAGGGAATTTCATCCCATGGAAATAAAGGATGCGTGGTCGAGGGGCTTTCGGTGGATATCTAATCCTTTCAAAATCCATATAAGGCATGGACTTGAGGTCGACAACTCGGCGACACGCGAACGCTTTTCGTCTCGAGTGCTTGCTGATGAAGCCCTGGCTTCTCCCGCGTGCGACCGAGTCCTGGAGGCAAATTGGAAACCAGACGGCGAAGGCGAATTCCCTCTTCCGTCCTCGGGATTCGACTCGATCCAGGACCATCTCACTTTTCTGACCTGTCTCCGACAAAATGCGAGAGGGAGTTTTCGGTCTTGCGTGAAAAAAAGAACATCCACCAAGACAGAGATGAATGTTTGCCTCCACGATGGCAGGTGAAAGCAGAACTTCCTTGCGAGCATCAGAACGCAAGGAAGTTTGGGTTCACGTGCGAACAGGGTCCATCGATGGTTGGAGCTCCGCCCATCTTCAGGAAAGAGATATCGGCATCGATTTCAATACAACGGTCCACAGCAAGACCTGTGAAGTGATTAAATTCCCCATACGAGGATTTATGATTCATTTTCCATGCTGAAATTTGCTGCTTGACTTTTTCCTGCTTTCCCGTCGATGAGCCTGGTTCGAGTCGAGTCGCAACGAGAATGGAGCGTGGCTCCAGTTGCTGCGATTTCTCCTTCACACGATCTCGTGCACTTGAAGGCAAATAATACATCTTTGCAATATTTCTGGGTGATATGAGTGCCGCGATCGGACTAGAAAACGAAGCTGGAAAATCATGTGGAAAATAACATTCAAACTCCTCCCGCCAGGCACCTTTTAATTGAACCTCATTGAAATTGTTTCCTATTCCAAGCAGAGGCCGAGAGATGGCTTGGATCAGCTCTCAGCTCTCGTTGCGGATAACCAACCGTGCTGCTGCTGTCTTTGGCGCAATATCGCATGAACATTCGGGGAAAATATGTGCATGAAGCTATAGGGAGAGTTTAGACTGCCGATTTACGCGGCACGTAGGCACTCATGTTTCCATGAACAGGCTTTCGAACGTAAAATTCCCCGATGAAAAAGTCGTTCTTTCCGTGACGAAGAAGGAAAAAAAGGACTTCACTGTCTACGAACTCCTCAAGGGGGAATGCTTATCCTCTGCTCATCACATGCATGAAAGAGGCTATGCCAAACCAACTTTGCTTTGATCCGGTTTGCTTTGAGCAAACCGGATGAAAACAAAGTTGGTTTGGCATAGAAACCTGGAAGAGTGCGATGTGACTGTCGAGACGAGTCGATCGTGTTGCGGTCTGTTCCCGCTCAAGCCAAGTCGACTCGAGCAACGCGACAGCCCGTCTCCGAAATCGCTCATTCTCGGGCTGACGGTTTCCTGTCTGTTTTCTGTCGTGGGGATTCAAGGTCGTCGGAATGTTAGGGGCATCGTAGAGATTCTCTCACCAGATCGCGAACGAGCGGGAGTGGAGGATGTATCGACAGACGCTGGAAGGGAAGACGGCCATCGTCACCGGTGTCGCCAAAGGTGCGTCTTAGCCCTTTATTTTAAATTAATTTAGATGAACGTCAGTTATTTCGCTAATTTTAGGGATCGGCCGGGCGATCGCGGAGAGATACTGCGACGAAGGGGCCCAGGTCTACGGAATAGACATGGACGAGGCGGGGTTGAAGACGATCGATAAACCCGGTTGGCTCACTCTCGGCTCTTGCATGCGTAGTTGCCATGTCTAAAAGCGAACACGGTTTTTCACAATGTTCGTGTCGATGGTCTCCGTCCAGGATTCGTCCCGGTCGTCTTGGATCTGAGGGATTCCGCAGCCGTCAAAGACTGGGTCAAGACCATTCCTAGAGTTGATATCCTTGTGAACAATGCTGCGTAAGTTCAGACACTTTTGCTGGCAAAACATAAAAACTTGCAGGCCTTAGAAAAGCGTAAACGTAAGATTCCGCATGAAGAGTAGCAAAAGAAAGATATTTAAAAAAAATACTGATTTATTCAGCTTACTGCGAACCTAGTGCAATAAGTCAAGGATTAAATAAATACATGCACTCGTAGTTTATCTTTCCCAGATAAGTATGTGGTATTCTGCTGTCCGGCAGGTGGATCGCGCACAAGGCGCACCGTCTGCTGGACGTGGACGAGGAAGAATGGGACGAATTCTTCGAGGGGAACGTGAAGATCATTTTCACCATGTGCAAGGCGGTGATGCCGGGGATGATCGAGGCGGGTGGGGGGGTCATCATCAATATGGGGTCGTGCGTCGTGAGGGGGTGGCCGAGAAGGGGGGTGTACACGGCCACCAAGGGGGCGGTGCTGGGGCTCACCACGGGGATCGCGATCGACTATCTGAGGCAGGGGATCAGGTGTAACGCCGTCTGTCCTGGGCCGGTGGAGACGGAGACCTTCGCTCAGATCGGCAGGGGGACGGTAGGGAATGGCATCTTCGACTTTCTTGTTTGCTCTGCGGAAGGGTTCTTCCCAGTGGCATATTTTGTATGAAGAGTCAGGGAGGCAGGGCAGCATAATGGGGGCGCAAAAACCCCACCCGAGCGATACCCAGGGGAGGATACACCACTGGTTCTTCCATTTCTGTTCGGGGACTCATTTTAGTTTCTCCATGATTTCATCTTTTAGTACTGTATTATAATGTTGCAGGTGATTGAAAATTTTCGTTCTTACTTTGTCATACGCGTAGGCTTGGGCTATAACAAGAAAACAACAAGCAGTTCATTCCTATCCTCAAATTTTTTCCTCATCGATCATCAGGCGATATATGCGATAGAATAGCTTAATAGCTGTTGTAAACATTGCCATTCTTTCCTTCCTCTCTGAGCATATAGTGTCCTTGAAAGTTACATCAGATATTAGCAAAATTTTAAGGGGCTTCGTCCCCCGAAAGCCCCCACACTCCACTAATTATTATACATCTTTATTTCGTATTGATTTACCTTCAATACTTGACATCACTGTTGCTCTCATGACCCATATTAGGATTTCTTCTGTTCATGGATTCAACTTTGTGAACGATTTCCGTTTTCCAGCCGGCGTGGCATCATTGGATGGAAAACGCCGGGAGAATCACCCAGCCCTCAGAAGTCGCTGGCCTTTGCGTTTATCTCGCGTCTGATGACGTCAGTCATTTATGCTTTTTTCTATTTTCGGAAACGGCGTCGGGACTCGAAATAATTGTAATTTTATTTTTCAGGCGAAGACGCTGACCGGGGAGGAGATCCACATCAATAGCGGGACTTTGTACAACTTTCAAAATGAGGGGACTCACTGACCTTATTCAAGATGTTATGGAAGTGTTCGCTGAAGCTCAAATGAAAGGAAATTGGAATCCTGAAATGAGGCTCGAGCTCATTCATTCTTGCAATATTATCCTTCTGGTAAAAAAAAAAAAATTTGCTTTCGGACGAGAGAAATGAGAAATAGGGTCGGACAGGGCAATCAAGACCTGTTTTGTTTTTCAATAACAATAAATTCACTGTATTTTTAGGCATTAGCCATCCTCAAAATGCACACTGCACAAACATGAATCGTTTGTTCAGATTGTTTCAGTTTACAATTGAAAGCAGGCTCTCGGGGCTCCCAAAAGCGACGAGTTCACCGGTACACATGTTATCAATGGAGTCGGCAGTTTTGGTTCAAGGGAGAACTGTTTCTCGACCACCCGAAAAAAAAAAACAAGAAAAAGCAGATCCCATGCGCATGCGTATATGAGTTTGCTGCGTGTATGCAGTGGCGGATACAGGGGGGGGGGGGGGGGGCGCCCCCCCCCCCCCCCCCCCCCCCCCCCCCCC